TTCGTTTGCCGCCTCCTGCTTCCTCTGGGACACGAAATCACGCCTAAGTCTGTCCATTCTTCATTCGAAATCAACCGAAAAACACAAGAAACAACTCTAGGAGACCGAAGCAACAAAGCCCAACGCTCAAAATTAACATAGGTGAGTGTTTTTGGATTGGATTCGAAAACGGTAATCAAATTGAAAATGGAGATTTATATGTTTTGAGTGTGATTCATGCGTGTTTGACATTAGATTTGAATTCTTAATGTTGTAAGGATCATTTTGGGCTATAGTTGGGTGGATTTGGTGCAAAAATTCAGAGTTCGACATCTTAGTATGCCTAGACCGATCGGACTAAGCCTGGTCCATCCTGTCTAGGGTTTGCAGGTGTCGCAAGGAAGAGGATGACCCAGAGGTCTAGACCGACCGGTCTGGCGAGCCAGACCATCCGATCTAGGTACCCCGGTCCGAATGGACTGAAGACCTGGTCCGATCGGACCAGGTTTTGGTCAGCGGTCAACGTAACCACCCAGATGACCAGTCCACTCTATAGACCGACCGGTCCAGGTCTCTTTTCCCCATTCCCTGATTTGTTTCCTTGGATCAAACGAGATCCGACGGTCTCAGACCCACGTTTGACCACTCTAACATGGAACCTTAACAGAATCCTTTCACATTAAGTAAAACCCTCGAGACGAGTTGAATTGGTAATCCGGAATGGTCGGAATCCAATTTGATCGGACCAAAGGATAAAAGAATAAAATAAACGTGAATAGTAATGAATACTAGAACGATGAGCTAAGACGTGTGTATGTGTGATTAGTACAAACTTTCACATGAATGCTTGTGATTGGGGATTTGGGTAGTTGACATGACGTGATACTTTAATTTGAAGGGTTGGAGTCACGTTGAGCGTGTGTTTGTAGTCGGAGATTGAGATGATATCATGATGATTGTTTGTTTAAGATCTCCTCTTTATGGCACTTGATCCGTGTCAAGTTTCATATTGAAGAGATATGATTGTGATTGGTCGCCTATGGGCAGAGATTGGAGCCGATGATGCACATGGTAGTCTCGTGTGGTTCAGACTATCACGGGTTGAGAAAATCTTATGGTTACTCTATGACTACGCCGACATTCCACCTGCTATGGAACGAGTTCAGGAGTGATTCTCGGCAAAGACTGGCATACATATTTATCTGTGACTCGGGATTGAGAGATTCTCCTGATGAGGTTATGTGGAATTACTTTAAAAGACCTGGACTCGGGTCTGATGAGCATTTATGTGGCGGATGGCTGACGAGAGGTTGTCGGTTGATGACTGACTTCGCTCGATATAGTCGGTGGTGGCCTGAGGAGGCATCTGACGCTATTGTATCGAGAGGTAACATCGATATCAGAGGAGATGGTTGATGTGATATGTTTTAATGAAGTGTTGGGTCTGGTTTGTTGTATTTTTATTATTCTAGTTTAGGCCGAGGACTGTGAGGGGATTGTGCGTTACACATGGAGAATTCTTACCTACGCGTGTGATGCATCCGTAGAGATGATTTGACGGTTTTCGGTATTACTGATAAACCCGATGGGTCGAGCTATGACTTGTGTATGTCCTGGACTGGCGATAACAGATCCGCATGTTATCCTATGTGTGTGATGCACATAGAGATGATTTGACGGTTGATGTCTGATGACTTCTCATCCGGACTGATTGTGGTTTTAATATGGGCTATTATTGGTTGAATTAGAATCCATCACATGGCATGTTATGTATATATATTATATGTGTATATATATTGCTTTTGATTGTCCATTTGCAATTTGAGTACGATTTTCGGGTTTAACCCGAAGCACTCAATAAGCATGTAGCTTGTGGACGTTGTTATGCGACGTTTCTGGCTCGTAGCAGCTCTGACAGCAGCATGACGAGGACATTGGTGACGGGTGAGACTTTTTCGGGATCATGTAATTTTCCTCTTTAGACGTGTATTGTTTTCTGTTGTATGGGCGGTGTATATCGACTCTGTATTATTTCATATTCACCGTCTTTATGTTGTGGCTTGTATACGTCTACTATAGACTTGGGTGTGTTATTTATATACATATTTTCCGTTGTGTATATTTAATATAAAAATATTTTTAAATTCCCGCATCTTTTCGGTATGTGGTTTTGATCGTCCATGTGATGCAACTCGTGGGTGGGACAGCGGGACACGGGTTACTAGCGTCACATACAAAACATATTACAATGCTATCGTGTAAATCAAGATTCAAAACTGATTCGAGATTGGAAACCACACTTCAAACAACACTTCAAATGGAGAGAGGAAAAAACTACAAATTGCGAAAAAGAAGATCTCATTAGATAAACAAAATCAGATGAATAAATTAACAATTTATTTTCTTCCATCGGAGAATTTCAAACCATTTTGCTTATTGAATCGACAAAGAAAGACACTCTTCTTCTATCAAAAGTTTCAATGGAACAAAACGATTGATAAGTGCAATTTTTTGTATTTATCATTGGATGCATCGAAAATCTCACCAAACCCATAACCAAGTTTCGAAAAGAATAGCGCAAATGAGGATATTAAACGCCATTACCACTCACACATGTTTTCTGTTGGGGACGGCGGTTGTTGACGACGGCAAAACTCCGGCAATTCGAGCGATTCCAGATAAGTACCTGAAATTAAAAGATTATTTTGTCGAGGCCTGTGAAACACAGTTTCCTTAAGTTCGATTTTCGTGCCACCTCTAAAGCTTCGAGGCTATTGGAGCACGGTCTCCCAGGATACAACGACCGCGTATTTGGAAGAAGCTTTCCAAATACCAAGCGAACTCAAAGAGAGATATGAGCAAATATGTGAATGCTTTTTTTCTCTAGAATGCTTGTTTCTTTTCTGTGTGTTTCTTATGAGCTAACCCAAGACCCCTATTTATAGTAGAGGGGAAAATCTCAAAACAAATCAATTTGAATTTCAAAATTCAAATTTGATTTTATTTTGATATTATCTCAATCTTATCTCAATCATATTTGATAGATTTTCTGCGGATTTGAATCCAATTTGAATTTGAATTTCAAATTCAAATAAGAATATTCTCTTAATATTCTGCAGATTTAAATTTATACGGACCGGGCTTCTCACGGGCTAGGCCCGTTTTGATTCTATCAAATAAACCCAAATCCAACAATCCCCCACAAGAATCAAAATAGGGCCTTGAGTTAGGTGAACCTAAATGCATCTCATGCAACTAATGCAAATGATATGCAATGCAAAATTTGCTCATCGAGAGTTTACTGTATCCGAAAAGGTAGTTTTACCTTTGAATCTTCCGTAGTGACATACTATCGGATGTACTTGCTAAACAGTGAACGCGATGTCTTGAACTATTCAGCTTTTGTATACACCAAGACAATAGTACTCACACAGCGCCCTCTCTCTCTCTCGTTAGTCCATTTGTTGCGCCCATTATGGCCCTGGGACAGCACCTGGTAAATTTCATCAAGTACTCTAGAGAATTAGCCTTTTTGTCATTCTCATAGAAGCGACCCACTTCATACTTGATATAGGAGATTTTTCTTTGAGAGTATCTCAATATACTCCACTCTCGTAGGAGATAAGAGAATCTTTAAGAGTATAAACTTCAACCTTCCCAATTTGTATCACTCTTATCATAGGAATGTGAAGAGACATCAGTCTCGAGCGATCTCATCGACCCCCCCACAATTCGGTTGTCCCATTGAACCTAACACTGGTGGTTTGTCCAGATAGGTTGGGTTGCCATCATGGTGGTTTGTCATTCTATGGGCTTTAATCCCATTCCCCTCGATAATATTTCTACCTGATCTCTGTTAAGGCCTTTGGTTAGAGGATCAGCCAAATTATCTTTTGATCTCACAAAATCAATAGATATGACACCATCTGTTAGTAATTTTCTAACAGAGTTATGTCGTCTGCGGATGTGTCGCGACTTTCCCTTATACACATGGCTTTTTGCCCTTCCTATTGCAGACTGACTATCGCAATGTATGCAAATTCCAGACATCGGCTTAGGCCATATAGGAATATTCTCAAGAAAGTTTCGAAGCCACTCAGCTTCTTCACCAGCAAGGTCTAAAGCTATAAATTCAGATTCCATAGTGGATCTTGCAATACACGTTTGCTTAGAGGATTTCCACAAAATAGCACCTCCACCAACAACGAATATATATCCACTTGTGGATTTATTCTCATTCGAATCTGATATCCAGTTCGCATCAGAATATCCTTCTAATACTGCTGGATATCTTGTATAATGCAGTCCATAATTCTCAGTATACCTTAGATATCTAAGGAGTCTAATTATGGCCTTCCAATGATCACAACTTGGATTGCTCGTATATCTACTAAGCCTATTCACGGTATTAGCAATATCCGGCCTTGTACTATTCATAAGATGCATTAAGCTTCCAATGATTCTGGAATATTCTAATTGTTGAACTCCCTCACCGTGATGTTTTTTCAAATGAGAATTAACATCAATTGGAGTTCTGGCCTCAGAATTTCCATCTCTGTCAAATCTCTCTAAGATTTGTTTTATATAATGACTTTGGGATAACGCATAACCGTCTTGTATCTTGATAATTTTCATACCAAGTATTACATCTGCTATTCCCAAGTCTTTCATGTCAAAGTGATTTGATAATATGGTTTTCGTAGCTTTAATCACCTTATCACCACTACCAGTAATGATCATATCATCTACGTAAAGACAGATAATCACAAATTCTGTCTCATTACCTTTGACATATATGCACTTGTCAACCTCGTTGACCCGAAATCCATTTGACAACATTACGCTATCAAACTTCGCATGCCATTGTTTCAGAGCTTGTTTGAGTCCATACAATGATTTCACAAGTTTACACACTTTTCCCTCTTGTCCGTGCACTCTGCACCCTTCAGGTTGAAGCATGTATACTTCTTCTTCCAGTTCACCATTTAGAAATGCAGTCTTTACATCCATCTGATGTAATTCTAGATTATGAGATATGAATACTTTTCCCTCTTGAATTTCTTGGAGTTGACATTCTTATCAATCTTCCGCTTCTTAATCCCTTTGGTCTTAGTCGTCTCAACGACATTTGCCTTGGATCCAAACTGCCCATTCATTTTAAGAATAGGTTGAGATTCCTGCCGAATTCTCACACGACGATGTAAATCCTTCAAAGACATGTCCTTAGGTTTTTGTCTCAGGTCATTCTTGAAACTCGTCCAGGAGGGAGGCAATTTTTCAATCAGAGTTGCCACCTGGAACCGTTCATTTACCATGATGTCTTCTCCCGCCAAGTTGTGGAAGATGATTTGTAATTCATCTACTTGTTCCACAACACTCCTTGTATCTACCATACGGTAGTTTAGGAGCTTTGCTACCACCATTTGTCCTTGGCTAGCCTCTTCGACCCGATATTTATGATCAATCGCTTCCCAGAGTTGCTTTGCCGTAACATATTTGGAGAAAACACCATAAAGCGAATCATCCAAACCGTTCAGCACAAAGTTCCAACACATGAAACTGTTATGTTTCCATTGTTGGTAACTGGCTAGAGATTGGGCATTACCCTCCTCTGGGATTGGTTCCTCTTCAGTGAGGTACCGTGACAACTTAAGTTGTGTTAAGAAAAACAACATCTTTTGTTGCCAGCGTTTGAAATTTTGACCCTTAAATTGTCCAGGTCTCTGACCCGGGCCGATTGGCACAATAGGAATTGACTGGTTTTCGGAGTTCGCAACAACCGAAGGCATT